ATTAGCTTATGAATATTCACAAAAATATTACTCAGATTTTGGTTGATTTTTTAATTTTTTGAGACAGGGTCTCGCTATGTAGTTCAGGCTGGCCTTGAGCTAGTTGAGATTATATTGAATCTATGTCAATTTTTGCACTTTTGTTAAACTTACTCCTAAATAATCTCTTTATGTCTGTGTTACATTTAAAGTGAACTTCTCATTATTATCTTTTAATTCACTAATTCTCTCTTAGAACAACATAGAACTTATTCTATATTGGTTCCTTTCCATACTGATTTATTTTTAAGATTTATATTCATCAGTTTTTTAAAGATTATAACCATTTAAAAACAGATACTATTTTATAGTTTTGAGGATCTCAACTTATTTTAAAAATCCTTTTCTTAATCACTATTATTTCCTTTTCTTCAAGAATAGATTGTCCCATTTGTTGAGTTTCCTGGGTATCTTACCCATCACTAGTTTTTGTAAATGGCTTTGAGATTTTACATAATGAATTTATCTTGGGAAGTGCATTTTGTTTTGCTTTTGTGTTTCTCCAGATCTTACAATTGCCTCTACCCAGCTTCTAAAGATCTGCAATCAGCCCAGTTCTTGTGTCAGTGGCTCAATCTTCAGCATACTTCAGATCCTGTCCCTGAACAGCCTGTAGCTGGACTGGGCCCATTTCCATTTTCCAAGTTGCCTCTATTCATTCTCATTTTTCAGGGTCCCTTTGAGCCACAACCCAGGCAGTAGCCCAACTTAGCTGTAACCTGAGTAGAGGAGCCCAAATACCACCATGTTCTTTGTGGCCTCACTCAGGCTCTGATCCATGCCACACACGGTCCCCGTTTCCCAAATGTACAACTGCCCTCTCCAAAGCGTTTCTTTTCTGTTTTTTTTTTTTTTTTTTGTACCAGGGATTGAACTCGGGATCTTGTGCTTGCAAGGGAGGTGGTGGCATCACTGAACTACAGGCCTGGCCCTTCTTTTTTGTTGTTGTTCAAGGACCAGAAAACCTTTGGCTCTCGTGACTCCCCTGCTTGTCAGAGCAGTGTGTTTCATTCTATTTGCAGTTTACAGAGATCTTCGTATTTTCAGTGGACTTTGGCTCTTAAATATTTTGCAAATGTGCTGTCTGTTTGCTATGTGTTCGGAGTTGAACCCATTCTGACATCGTGACTGGGAGACTTTCTTTATTTCTCTGTAGAGGTCAGGGTTAAAGCGACTGAGTTGCACAAGTCTCACTCTACATCAGTGGAAAAAGTACTTTACATTTGGTCTTCACATGTAAGCATGCCTTCACCTTACATCCAAGCGTACATGTATGTGTACTTTGACGGCAAAATCACCCCGCTATTGTAGTTTATTTTATTTTATTTTATTTTATTTTATTTTTGGTACCGGGGATTGAACTTGGGTCCTTATGCTTGCACAGCAGGCAGCGAAACCACTTGAGCTAAATCCCCGGCCCCCCTCTATTTTAAACAATGCTGCACATTGCAGAGGAGGAAAGCTAGTCGATTCGATGAAATGTCTTACATTTTAAAGTTTAATATTGAATAAAAAAAGCCAGAACAGAATGTGTCTTATATGAGACATGGAGTTCAGAGCAGGCAATCCTAATATATAGTCTTAAAAGTCAAAAGGACAGTTATCCTTAACACTGGGGGAATCCCAAAGTAGGCTTCTAAGTGCTGGCAATATCCCGTCTCCATCTTTACATAAACTTATCAAGCTGTATACTTAGATCTTTACACTTTTCTGTATATTTGTTACTTGAAGCAAAACATTTGAATTGAGAAAAAAGATAAATCCTTAATATTTTACCAAACACTGCGACCCTTGCTCGGTGTGTAGTATGTCACCTCTTCCAATAGCTTTTTGAATGTTGCTTACATGCATAGTGTTCATCTCCCTTCCCCAACCATCCCATGAGGTCTTCTTTCCTGAAGTTTTCAGAAGTGCCCCCTCCTCTCTTGGCCACAAAGCAGTTCCTGGAGAAAGTCCTAGCTCACACCCATGTGTAAAAGTCTGTACTTTCCATGGGTAAGGAATCGAGATGTGACAGCCATAAGCTACCATTAGGTGATAGAGTACTTAACTTCCTTCCTTTGAATGCAGAGTCCCAATTAGATTCTACATCAGTGGTCTGCTGTTTTCTGCAGCATTGTCATGTGGTTATGACAGGATCTGGCACAATGCCATCCCTGTGGAGAATTGCTGGATGAGGCCCTAGGGGGAAACACTGTGTCTTCTTCTCCAGCAGATTCCTTACTCCTCTCTGCTTTCTGGGATGCTGCAGTTCAGCTCCATTCTTGAGGTGTTTTAGCTCAGAATGTTTTTTTTTGGACTGGGGATCGAACTCAGGACCTTGCATTTGCGACGCAGGCTAGCTCAGAATGTTTTGCCACATAAGGTAGCATCATAAGTGGAGCTACCTCTCCCCACCTCTCACATTTTTCCTATGTGATTTCCTATATGAGTGTCCAATTTCACCCTTAAGCTAGACCAGGATCTCTCAACCTGGCGCTAGTGATATTTAGGATTGGACCATCCTCATTGAGGAGGCTGCCCCGTGCCCTGTAGGATATTTAGTAGCACCTTTGATCTCTGCTCAGTAGATGCCAGTAACCCTCCTCTCTAAGTTGTGACAACCAAAAATTGCACGCAAACATTACCAAATGTCTTCTGGAGGACAAAGTTGCCCCTGGCTGAGAAACACTTGGCAGGACTGACTTCTGAGCTGCTTCAACCTAAGGATCTGGAAGGCAGCCCCATCCAGTCATAGATCATGCTCCCCAGTGCACTAGATCTGTTTAAAGAATGGAACTGGGCCAGGCATGGTGGCACACGCCTGTAATCCCAGCACTTGGGAGGCTGAAGCAGGAGGATCACCATGAGTTTGAGGTCAGCCCGGGCTACATAGTGAGTTAAAGGCCAGCCTGGACTGCACTGAGACCCTGTCTCAAAACAACAAACAAACAAACAAACAAAACAAACAAGTGGCAGAGACATCCAAAATTACCATAGTTGTCATGGCCTCAATGACAGATGAAAGTATGGTAGCTGTGAAGAAATGAGAATTATAAAAGAAAAGCAAAATCCTTTCATTGCTTCTCATACCGATACCTGGAAGAAGTTAGGAAACTTATTACAGACATCAGCTAGGAACTAGAAAAGCGTTCCTGAAGCAGAAGCTTAAACCTCCATAACTCTGAAAAGATACAGCTTCCAGGCCACTTCGAGGACAGTTCGCTCTTGGCAGCCTGGGTGTAGACACACTTGTGGCCCCTCAGCCTCAGGTGTCCTGGATGCGGCCCCCGGGTTTCCTCTTCTTGAACCCCAGGACTTCCATCAGATGAGCACCAGGCCAAAGTGCGGCTCGAGGCTCTGACGCTGGTGTCTCCTCTTCTGCAGGGCACAGGATGCTCACAGTCCCCCCCCAAGAGGTTGCTTTCCAGGGGCTTCTGCATCCTCAGGAGTGAGGGGACCAAAGACTTCCAAGAAGTCTGAAATTAACTCCTTCAGTGCCTTAACACTCGATGGAACTGGGAACTGATCAGAAAGGAGTAACTTCCTTCAGGGGTAACTTTACAACTGAGAATGCCAATAAAGCAAGAAGCTCTGAATAGATGAAGAAATTGAAATTCACATAACTGTATGAAAGTTTTCAGCATGAGGTGATCTTGGTTACAGGGAAAGAACACATCTCTGCACAAGGCTTTGAAGGGGTGCAATTCTCATAATTGTGGCCAGTCTGTCTAGTGAAAAACGACGCTCAGAACTTTCAGTCTCAAACGACAACTTGCTTTTAAGAATAAGAAAGTAAAGAATTTTCGTTTGGAAAAAAATATTCGATGCATCTGATTCTAGTCAGAAAGACAGTACTCAGACAGGATGAATATATTGATGTAAAGCAGAATACTATGAAACACAAGATGTTTTAAAATCAGATTTAGCACAGAATTAAGCTCAAGAAGAAAATGCATTATTGGTAACACTGTTAAAGGACTTTTAATTAGGACTATAATTTATCTACCTTCCCTGTATCTTGAGGTGTTTTTCACTTTGGTACCAGGGATCAAACTCAGGAACTTGTGCTTGTGAGGTGGGTGGTGGTGCCACTGAGCTATATCCTTGGCCTTTGAGGTGCTGTTTTGCAGTCCCTTTTCCTGTCTTTCTCTGTATCCTTCTGACACCTTGCACATAGCCTGTCATATGCGTGCCTGTGCAGTTTTCAATCCAGATCCTTACTTTGTATTTTAGGCAGTTAATCAAATTCTGTTAATGCTCCTAAATATGGTGTGCAGACTTCCTCCACACTACCTAAAATCTCATTAGTTTTGTCTTTGTGTGTGTGTGTGTGTGGGGGGGGTAATTGAGAAATAAGTACAAGTAACCACAAAATATTAGAAGCAATGATTCACTTACTCTTTAGTGTGAAAGAGCTTCATCAGGTAATTCCTCCAACATCCAGCTGAGTGGAGAGAGAAAGAGGGGAGTCTCGATGCAGTGGATGGGGTTTTAAGGGTACAGTGGATCAACCCTGCACTAAAGGTGAAGTTCTAAAAGGTCAGAGAACAGTGATGGCCCTCTGAAGACACACTGGCCCTGGGACAGCGCTTTGTCATCTGATGCTGAAGACACAGTTCCATCTGCCGCAGTTGTGACGGATGGGGAGGGGGCACAGGCTTCCCACACAGGAACTAAGAGAACAGTGACAAAGGGTAGGTTTGGGGCATCTAGATTTTTCCCTTTTGTATCGAATGCTTGCTCATTATTAGTTTTTCAGATAACTTAGCAACCTTGTTCTGGAAAATCAGGCACCAAAAATCTTGGTTTTGGGATCTTTGGGAATCTTTGTCATCCAACTTTTTAAACTCCAGGCTGCTTGGCCTCCCAGTGAGCTCCCATGTGGCAGGAGGGATGGATCAAAGCTGAGTTTTCTTAGCCAGTGAAGCCTGACGCCTGCCAAACTGCCTGCTCTTTGAATAAACACAACAGAGACCAAGCAAGAAGTAGCTACAGTTTAATACAAACCTGCACCAGAACACAATGTGTCGGGCTGTTTTGTTTTTGCCTCGAACGGTGGCCAAAGCACAGGACTGTGTGTCTTCTTGGGGTTGACACAATCTTAGCACCATGACATTTACAGAGGAGTGAGGAAGTCACTTGGGTGCTGGGGGCTCCATCCTGACCCCAGGCTGTGCCTGCTCCCTCAGCAGCTGGAGGGGTGTGGTTTCCCGTGGTTCCATGTTTTCCGGGTCAGTGTGGGAAAAGCCCTCATTTGTGGCACTGGCTTGACAGAGGCCTACTGTGGACTCCTAGCACTACACACACACACACACACACACACACGCACACACAGTAGCACAATTTTCTGGTAACTTAACCCCACAAACCTAGAGAGCAGCTAAGGCAAGAACAACAGTATTTATTCAGCAAGTACAAGACCAGTTTGAGAGCTGCATTCGGTGCAACCAGAGACCCTTTCTGTTCCAGCCAAGGGCCACTGGGGCTGGAGACAGAGCTGGCTGGAGCTCTGTTTGGGGCAGGGGTGGGGGGCGTGACTGTTCATTTAGCTCCTTGAACCTCCTTCTGATTTCCATCTAGAAGCTCCTGAGCAAGGGCAGGGTCTATGGAAGGGTGAGGGTGGATGAAATGGAAGGCCCATGGCGGACTCCTCCCAGATGTGGCCTCCCAGCGCCCCGGGTCACAGGTCACGCATCCTTGGGTGGAGGCACTCAGAGAAGGTAAAGCTTTGCTCGCCCAAGTAGGGTGCTCTGCCCAGCCAGCCCCACCACCACTGGGCTCTTTGGCATCTGCCCAAGGCCACGACCCAGCAAGGGCTGGTCAGGGTCGCGGTTTCCCTTACCCGGGGTGGCTTCCTCGATCCCAGGTCCCTATGTACCATGGATGCCTCTGCTCCCTGGGTTACCATCTCTGTCCTCTCAGCCCCCAAGGGAGGACACTGGGAGTGAAGGGAAGATGTGGATGCAGCTCATAACACAGGGGAAGCCTCCAACACTTTTCTAGTCCTGGCTCAAACCAAGATATGCATTAGCTTGTTTACAACAAAGTTGAAGAAAAAAAAATCTATCTACTTGTGCAAAACAAAGCAGAGTACCTACTGGGGAGTAAGTCTTTTCGTTGGTTATACTCTTGGTGGGATCAACAACTGCCATCACCTCCACCTCCTCTCCACAGCTGGGCTAGACAGCCAAGGCCATAGGTGGTCATCGTTACCTCTGGGGCCAGATGGCCGAAACCTTCTGTGACTGAGTTCCCACATATAGAACATGGGGAGAATAATACAGTGGTACCTTGGTTCATGAACTTAATTTGTTCCATGGTTTTGGAAAATATGGCCACGTTTGTGTTTGTGTGGGAAAAACGGCTTCAGTTCTGTTTGTCACCCGATGCAAAGTTTGTAAACAAAAACAAATTTTGCCAAATGCTTCTGCTTGTGAACCAAACTGTTTGCAACAAAAATGCTTGTGAACCGAAGTGCCACTGAATACGTTCCATTGTCATGAGGATCAAATGAGAGCTTGCATATGGAAGCACTTTGATACATGAAGAGCACTATAGTGATGTGCAGAGTATGACTATTAGCCAAGGGTCCAGGGGCCTCCTGCAAGCGTGGGGTGCTCAAACCAAGGGTATGACATGAAACCACTTCCCTGAGGGGGAAACAAGGTGTACCAAGGGCAGGGCGTGGAGCTACTTCTCAGATCGCTTGGGGTGGATAAAGATCACCCTGGTTCTTCCTGGAACCTCTGAGGAGCTTCTGAGGAAGGGAGGGCCCACCAGACATGCAGGGTGATGAAGCCGCTGCCAGTGAGGACACGGTGCTGACCACAGGACCCCGCGGCACCTGTGCAGGGGATGCGGGCTCTACACCCAGTGGGCTGAAGCCTCCCTCCCTGGCCCCTCTGACCAACCACTCCTCCCTCTCAGCAGGCACATGGCCTCTTGCCAATCACACAGGAGGAGTAGCCAGGCCTCTGTCCAGCAAGGGGAAGGTACAGGAGGCTCTGTGTGTGAGGGCGTGTGTGCGTGCGTGCGTGCGTGTATGTGTGTGTGTGTGTGTGTGTGTGGTTAGTGCTGGGAGTGACCAAGGGCAAAGATGGGAAGGGTCACCTGGCTGCCTGCTAGTCTCCAGGGCCAGCATCAAGGCCCCCTCTCGGAATGAAGAAAACCTGACCAGGAGGGGAGGAGAAGGGGCCTGGCCCAGGGCCTACAGCAACTGGAGAAGCCCAGGAGGGGTGGGGGGGGGCTGCAAGCCGCCCCACCCCACCCTGTGCTCTGGTTGGTGGCGAGTGCAGCATCTCCTACGGACCACATCTATTCCTGTTTCTATGCTATGCTAGTGACACAAAGCACTGTTATTTTCCACAGGATGCACAAACAAGTCAAACCAAACCACTGCGCAAACCAAACGTGCAAAACAAAACCATTTACACTCGCCTGGCACCAGCCTCGGACCCCACCCAGCTACCCTTCTGGGCCTGGGCCTCCCAGAGGGTGTGGGTATGGAGTGCAGAGAGGCTGGCAAAGGGCACAGGGTGTCCCAACCACACCCACACCCAGGATGTCCTGGGCATGGCTGGGGAGCTGACAGGCGTGACTTGGGAAATGTCAACGCAGGGTCTCAGGGGCTAGGAGAGGGAGGTCTGTACTTATAAAACGCATCTGCTAAAGTGCTCTGGACACCAGGCTGGGTGGCCAGGGCCAGGGCACTAAAGTCTGGGCCTTCCTAGAGCCAGCACAAGAGGCAGTGGTGACGGGGGAGCTGGGCAGGTGCTATGCAGTGGGCTCTGTGCATAGTGTGGGCTCCCAGGGCCCAGAGACGCCCACCCAGGCCAGGGCAGGAGAGGAGCACAGCAGGAGGACAGCTCAAAGTGCCTGTCAGGGGTGGCTCCAAGTCCAGTGAATCACGTTCTGGCGAGGGGCTCCCCGGGTCCTGGGGCCCCCGTAGGCGGTGCGTTGCCCAGCCCAGCCTCTCCCGCCCCCTGCAGCTGCGGGCGGCAGGCCCCCGCGGAGTAGCCTCGCTTGCGCTTGCGGGGCTGGTCGGTGCCTTTACCAAATGCCGCTCGACCGGCCTCCAGGGGGCGCGAGGATCCGAGCCGAGGCTCGCTTTGGGACGTGGTCGTCGATCTGGGAACCTGTGGGTAAGGAAGCGCAAGGGTGAGGCAGGCTCCTCCTCCTAACAGGCCACGCAGGGGCTGAGCTCACCCTGCAGGAGTATGATCTCACCGAGTCCTCACCCCGACTCCATCCAGCTTTACCCAGGAGGAAACGGTGCATGCAGACCACACTTCAGCCTGCCGCCACACGTGCCTCAGAGTAGGTAAGACAGGGTACAGGGATGCTGTCCTAGGGTTTTGGAAAAGGAAAGAATCTTACCGAAAGGCGCCCACATCTTGAAATCCCAAGAGTTACATAAAAAGGGAGCCCAGAGAACAGAGAGGACTGCTTCAGCCTGTCCCACTTAGACCAGCCAAGACCTGGGATGGGGGGGAGGTGACGGGCTGCCAGGGGTCTGCATGTCTGAGCGGAGCTCTGCCCAGTCTTGGCTATGGAGCAGGGGCAGAAAGAGTCACTGACCAGTGCGGGCTCTGGAGCCCTGGGAATCCTCACCTGCTGGACTGGTGAGGCCTGTGTGTATCCAACAATCCTCTAGACACACATCTCTGACCCCTGGCTTTCATGTCCCATCACTAGTGCAAGTGGCAGTGGCCCTGAGGATGTGTGAGTGGGAGAGATCCCTCCCTGAGGGCCACCAGCACCTCCGCTGGGAGCCACATGTCCCTGTCAGAGCTGCTCTCAGCATAAAGCTGGGGAGGAACCACAGCAGGCAGGTCCCCTCCCCAGCCCTCTGGCTTGGCTGCTGTCTCTTGTGCTGTGACGGTGTTTGGCCTCATCCTCGTGGTGAACTTTACACTGCAGGTGGAATGACCAGGTCTTGTTCCTCTCGCTGTCCCTGCTCTAAGCACAGCCTCTCTGGCTGGTCTTGAGCTCACTGCCCACTTCAGATGGGGTGGCAGCTTCCCCCAATGCTGCCTGGAGGACCAGGGCCTCTCTCAGCCTGTCCTTGGTCTCCATTTATGAGGTGAGGACCTCTGCCAAGTACCACGGAGCATGTGGGACTTATGCTGTTGGTCACAGCAAAGTCCCTGAGGCACAGAGAGCCATGGCCGGGAGGAGCCCAGGATGTCGCTGAGAGATGCCGGCATTAAGAAAGGGGACAGGATATGTTCAAGGTACCCAGAAATTCTGCAGGTGGACCAGAGCCAGGACATGGTCCGAGACAGAGAGATAGATAAGGAAAGAAACAGGAAGCCAGAGGTTAAGAGTAAAAGATCTTAACGTTAATGCAATATACCGTATATGCAACAATCCTTGGTTAGAAAAAAAATGAAAGGAGGGCAAAAGCGAGGATGAGATGGCAAAGCCAGAGGGAGGAAGAGTAACAGGAATAGCAGGGTAACAAACCCTTTGGGGAGGCTAGAAAGGGAGGGACAAAGGGGCGCAGTCCCATGAACCAGAGGGCACTGATCCTTCTCAGCTCAGGTCACATTTGGGGTATCCCTGTAAGCAGGGCGCTCAAGATATTCCAGGGTTAAAAATATCCTTAGAACCCAGGAAGAGAGCCCAGGTGGGCCTGTCCTGTCCGGCCCCACTAGTATCTGCCTCTGATGGCGGACCTGCGCTCATCGCAGGACCCAGAGCCAAGAGGGGGCCCTCGCCCTTACCAGAGAGGCTGAAGCTGGACTCGTGAAGGTCCCGCATGCCCCCGTGTCGGGTGACTGGCCGTGTGGGGGTGTCTGCCAGCGGAGTGCCCATCTCTTTCTTCCCAGGATGCATGACAACTGCGACGTCCCCCAGGTAGGGAGTGCGGTCCACGCCCCTCACCTTTAAAGTCTGGAAAAGATTTCAGCATTAGCGCGAGGCGAACGGCTGCAGTCTCCTCCGTGGCAGATGGGATGTCAGACGCTGCCACTATGCTCAGGTCCTAAGTCATGCAGATGACAAGGCCTCTTGCACCTTGAGGGCAGGGACGAGCGAATTCTTGAACCTCCTAAATGGCGCACGCGCACGGGTGCCTGTGCCGGGGCAGGTGCGAGCGCATGTGCGCATGCACAGAGCAGAGGCGCGGCCTCACACAAGGCAATGTTATCCTCTCACTGCTAGCTTCCCACGGCCGTGCCTTTTAACGCTGTCTGACAACTGTGAGATCAGAGGGAATAGAGATACTACTTAGTTCTGTCCTCACAAAAGATCAGGGTTAAGGGCTGTATTCAGCAGCCAGGCTGCCCGGGTTCTCGTCCCAGTTCTACCCCTGGGGAGCTGTGTGGCCTGGTGAGAGTTAGTCTGTTTTCTTAGGAAATCTGTTCTTATGGAATCTAAAGGCCTGTATGTGTAAAGCTCTCAGAACTGCTCTGGTCCAGCCCATTGGGCTTCACCACCCTGAGAAGCGCTACTGTGAGGAAGAGGAAGGGTGTGAAGGGTGTGCAGGGGCCTGGAGGAGCCGCAGAGCCCGTCTCCCCCGGTGCTCCTCAGTCACAACAGCAATATCGCTGCGAGAAAAACAGACACGGAACGATTTCTCCAAGGCCTCTCCTCATCCTCCACCCAGGTCTGTAGCTCTGCTCCAGCCTCATCCAGCCTCAGAAGGCCAAGCCGGGGCTGAAGGGTTCAGGCCTCTACCAGGCTACATTTGGCCTCCTGATCCCCCTGCACGAGGCCGCTCTTTTCCCTCAAGTCTGCACTCTAGGCTGCTCACTTGCAGTGTTTGGAAAGTGCGTTTTGTTTATGTATTTATTTTGATCCTTTTTCTGCATCCCTGAACTCTTGTTAGCAGAGGGCTGTGGCAGAACAGGGACTATAATTGGTTTCTTCCTGAAGACCTTAAATTGTAATTAGACCCAGAGACTGCTGAACCCTGACGTTCGTTCGGGTGACAGACCGTCTGTAGGGTTTTGCCCTGGGTTTACTGAGGGGGGCTCAGTTGTTGCTGGGACCCCACTTCCTGAAATGCAATGCAAAAGAGACATCATGTATATGCAGCATTTATGTGGAGTTTTTCTTTCTCTTTTTCTTTTGAAGTCATGAAAGCTTTATGCATGGGATTTCACACCTCTGCCATCGCAGACCCACCCATGGGCATTATTACAGTGTCTTGCAAAGGGTCAGTTTTGTTAGGAAACATGCAGAATGCTGTTCTCAGCCTTGTTTTTCCAGTCATGGTGTTTTTAAAGTCATTTCTTCAAGGGAAACAAAACAATTTAGTTTGAGCAAAGCTTAAGTGTACTGGCGTGCTTCTGTGTGACGTCCTTGTTGCCAGGCCCTCAGGAGGCCATGAGCTGGGCCCCAGTGGAGGTTTAGCTCCAGAGGGACATGCTTTGCTCAGTTGTTGGGCAGAGCTGCCTCTCGCCCTGGCCTGGCCACTGTGGCACCTAGGTGACCTCACCTGGTGCTGTCCCTGATGGTGGAAAGCATTGTGTCTGCCCTGGGACAGCCTTGCTGTCCTGTGAGTTTGTCACCCCCGGGCCGGCACCTCTAGGATGGTGGTGTCAGGCAGGCACCCCCTCCAGCAGCTGGGTACGGGGCCCACTGGGCAGCTCTGCTGCTCCCACCTCGCCTGCTGGTCCCAGCCCTGGGGGAGGCTGGCAGGGTGCTGGGTCGTCCTGGCTACTCCGTTGTAGGTCACTGTGGACCACGGGCATCCCCAGGGCCACCTGAGCCTGGCTCTGCCAGTGAGGCAGGCTTGGAGTTCCATTTCTTTGCAAGAGGAGGAAGAAGAGGCGGCCTCCCCCGTGTGTGAACTCCATTATCGCAGTGGTTGTATATTCAGCTTAAGTACTCATTATTTCTACACTGAAAGAAGATTTTAACGAAGGGAAAAAACAATAGCAGTAACATTCATATCTGTGGAGCAGCTAACTCATACACAACTCCCTGCTTTCTGTGCAGAACTAGCCAGTGTAAAAATAACTAACATGTAAATACTTTTTTTCATTTTACAGCATTGTATTATACATGTATATGGTGGGTCCTTTTTCAGAAACTTTTCTTACTTGGTGGTTGTCTTGTTTTCTGGGTTGGTTTTTTTTTTTCTTTTTTTGGTACTGGGGATCGAACTCAGGACCTTGCATTTGCGAGGCAAGTATGTGTTGTTTTTAACTCAGGAAGAAAAATGCTCATCTGCCAGTGGGGACAGAGTGGCTGGGCTGGGGTTGTGTGGTGTCCCCTCCCGGCCTTGCCCTCTGTGCCCCCTCACCTGCCCGCCCGCCGCACGCTGGGCCGAGCGAGGGGCAGCTCTTCTTGCTCTAAGTCAGGAGTCTCAAGTGACATTTTTTTCAATTAAGGGAAAAATCCCATTTCCAACCTTGACATGGTCCAGAGGGGCCCCTGCCCCCTGTGTCCTCTGCTGCTGCTGCTGACAATACGATAGTTTACTCTGCTACTCAAGAACTATTTTTATGTAATTAATGTATCCTCTCTTGTTTATAATGCCTGATTTTAAAAAGGAAAAAAAAAATGTCATTAGAATAAATGCTTTAGATAAAGGGCCTCCGGACTGAATTTATATCGACCCCAGCATGCTTGCTGGAATGTTCTTGTTGAATTTTTCCCCATCAACCTGTGTCTTTGTAGTTTTCTCTTTGAAATGGGAAAGAGTAACGAAGACACTTAGATGCTACTCTAAGGACCTTACGTGTGTTAACATATGTAATTCTCACAAAGCTTCCCAAGGAAGTGCTACTATTACCCCAGGTGGCAGTTGAGGCCCAGAGGTGTTAAGCTATTTGCCTACAGTCACACAGATGCTGAACATCTGGGCCAGGTTACAAGTCTGACTGGGTCTTGCTGGCCAACGCTGTACCACAGCTCCCGATCTCTGGTGTTATGAAACCATTCTGTTTCTTATCAGTTCCCAGGCCTATCCAGCCTTCCCCTGAAAACTATTTCTTTTCTTAGTAAAATGTCTTCCCCATCTCTCTGGAATCTTTCGACTTCACCCACCTTTTCTTTTTTTTGGTACCGGGATGGAACTCAGGACCTTGCGCTTTTGAGGCAGGTGGCGGAACCACTAAGCTAAATCCCCAGCCCAGCAACTTTCTATATTATGTTTTGCAACAAAAAGTCCATCTGCTTCAAAGATCTTGTGTCTTCCCAGAAGTTGTAGGCATAGGCACGAGAGTACAGGGGCCTCTGTCGTCTCAGTTCTCTCAGAGGGAAGGCGGCTTGTCCCAGCTTCTGGGCTCTTTGCCCTGGGGTCCTCTGGCAATCTTCCTGGGGAGTCTGAGTGCTTGGCCTGGGCCAGGGCTGCATCTACACAATAGCTGACCACTGGGAGATCAGAAGCTTTGAGACAGCCCCACGGTCAAAGTGGAGGAAAGAAGGTGGGCTTGTGGTCTCCCCAGGGCAGGCAGGTTGCTGGGCAAAGCTCTGCCCCCGGCGGAAACCCATGTTCCTTTACTGTGCAAGACAGAGTGGCCCAAGCATGCCTCATACAGGCAGCTCTCAGCTCAGGCACTGCATTTATGGCTCTGTGAGGCCATCTGGAAGAGCTCCAGGTTCCCCTTTGCAGAGTTTCTGGGAATGCAGGGACCAGGCGCCCTCCGTGACGGGCAGGGTCTCATCCCTTGGCATGAGCTGCAAATGCTCAGCCTATGCTTGTCCTCAGATCACCCCTGTGGTGGTCCTTAGCCTGTGGCCTGGGGCTAGTGCCCTCCCTGCACTGGTCCAGCAGTGGGCTCTTGGGAACTGGTATCCACTTGAGAGGCGGGTTTTTAAGAAGCTTGAGACACTTGCCCTGGCCCCTTTCATCTTTATTTTTTTTTGGTACTGGGGATCGAACTCAGGACCTTGTGCTTTCGAGGCAGGTGTGGTGCCACTGAGCTAAATCTCTGGTCCCTGGCCCCTTTCATCTTATTTCCTGACTAATGTCTTTTTAGAGATTGCCACAAACCATTGTCAGATACTATTTTTTTCCTTAAAATCGAGATATAACCGGGGTGGGGGGGGATTTAGCTCAGTGCTTCTGCCGCCTGCCTCGAAAGCGCAAGGTCCTGAGTTCAATCCCCACCAACCCCCCCCATTGCGATATAACCAGTATATCATGAAATTCACAGTTTTAAAGTCTACAGTGCAGTGGGTTTTAGCATATTCACAAGGGTGTGCTACCATTGCCACCATCTAATTCCAAACAGTCGCATTACCTACAAAAGGAACCTCCTATCCACCAGCAGCCACTCTTCGTTTTTCTCCTCATCCAACTCTATAAACAACTAGAAATCTACTTTCTCTCTGTGGATTTGCTCTTCTGGATAGTTCATATAAGTGGAATCATACAACATGTTACTTTTTTGGTCTGGCTTTTTTTTTAAACTTAGAATTTGGTTCCAAGATTTGTCCTCATTGTATGCAGGGTCTATAAGTATTTCATTTCTTTTTGTGGCTGAATACTATTCCACTGAATGGATACACCACAATTAGCTTATCCAGTCAACAGTTAACATACATTTGGATTGTTACTATAGTGCTACTATGGACAACCATGTACATGTTTTTGTGTAGACATGTTTTCATTTCTCTGGGGTGCATAGCTAAGAGTGGAACAGCTAGGTCATATGCCAACTCTAGATTTAAGTTTTTAGGAAAGCCAAACTGTTTTTCACAGCAGCTACACCATTTCACATTTCCTCCAGCAATGAGTGAAGGTTCCACTTCCTTCACATCCTCACTCACACTTGTTATTGGGTTGTAAGTACAGCCTCCCTTTGTTAGATAATCCTGTACATCAACACCTTGCTCTTCCAGCTCCTTTTCCTGCCCCTCCTCTCCTTCCCTTCTTCTTTCTCTCCATGTCTCTGTCTCCCTCCAGACAAGACCTCACACTGAGCTACATCCCCAGCCCTTTTTTATTTGGAGACAGGGTCTCACTAAGTCACTGAGTTGCCCAGGCTGGACTTGAATTTGTGATCCTCCCATCTCAGCTTCCAACAGTGCTGGGATCGTAGGCATGCGTCACCACACCTGGCCTCTCCCACTCTTTCTGGCCCCTCTGCTAGAGGGAGGGCTGAGGCCTCCTGCCCACCATCTATGCCTGGGAAGCACTGTGGAAAAGGAGGGACCATTCACCTGCCTCAGTGAGAGACCCTGAGTGTGTATTTTGATTCAATGCTGTGGCAATGAGGGCCTTTGCCTGGCACCTATGCCTCTTCCCCCACAGCAGACCTGGCTCATAAAAGAGCTCAGGGACCTGACAACTCAGGGCTGAGGGTAGAGAGCTTTTTCCAAATACCAGCTCCTCCCTGCCTTAGTTCACAGCAGGGGAGTGTGTGTGTGTGTGTGTGTGTGTGTGTGTGTGTGTGTGTGTACCAAGAGATGGCCATTGCTCCAGGGCCCCAGAGCCTGCATATCAAGAGGCACTCAGCAGCCACAGTCCCAGGGAACTCAGGGCTCGCCACTTTCCTGTTCCTTGAAATTCTGTGTAGGTATCAAAGCTGGGGAATGGAAACCAGCTCCGCACTGCACTCTCAACCTTGAATATTCAGCAAAGGCTGCCTTGCCCTCTTCCCATCCTCCTCCTGCCCTTGGCATGGTACCTTCTCTCTCTGGACCAGCTTCTTGTAGACAGTATCCGGGAAGGACCTCAGTGGGCAGAACTTGCCGGTGCCCTCAGCGCACATGAAGACGCCGTTCTCGTAGACCACGCGGCCCCGGCTGATGGTGACCAGCGGCACACCGTGGCAGCGCATGCTCTCGTACAGGTTGAAGTCTCCCCCCTGCACCTGGGTGCTGGCGGAGATGGTCCTGGAGGAAGACAAGGGCAGGGGAGAAAGCTGAGGAGAGGGAATGACATCCCTGGTCCACGGAAAGGGACCCTGCCCTCAGGGAAGGGATGGACTCAGGCCCTGAAAATTCCTGCATTTACGTCCTAACCCCAGACCTTAGAACGGGACTGTGTTTGGGAGAGGGTCTGTTGAAGTCCAGTGAGGTCATATGGATGGCCCTGACCCAATCTGACGGGTGTCCCTGTGAGGAGAGGAGAAGGTGACACCAGGGGCGTGGGTGCAGAGAGGAAAGACCATGTGAAGGCAGTCAGCAAGCCGGTCATTTCTCAGGACGAGAGTGGTGCAAAGATTATATGCCTCTGGGTCCCCAAGTCCCTTGAGTCCTGCAGACTAGCAGCAAACTTTACTTTGTGGCTTCTGGGTCCCACACCACCACGTCGGCGTCGGCACCAGGGATGATGCGGCCCTTGCGGGGATACAGGTTGAGGATCTTAGCAGCGTTGGAACTGGTGACAGCCACGAAACGGTTCTCATCCATCTTCCCTCCAACCTGAGATATTGCAAAAGTCCCAAGTTAAGCAGGCTCTGGTCCCACAGGAGCCTTATTCCTCTCTTCCTCATTCAGTAGCAATGGCGAGGGGGCTCTAGTGCCGGAAGGCTGCCAACCCAGGGCACATGCACACACAAGGGGTGACTCGGGGTCTCCCTTCATCTGTAAAGGGGTTCACAGTTGTTCCCCCTTATCTGACTGTGGCCCGCAGTGGAGGCATGAAACTGCAGACAGTACTGAACACTAGAGAGACTGCGTTTTTCCCTGTATGTACATATTCCTATGAAAAGATTTATTAAGTAGGAACTGTAAGAGATTAGCAACAATAACTAATAACAAAATAAAGTAAAAGTTATTGCAAACTTATGAACTATTTTTTCCTGGAATTTTCTGTTTAATATTTGCAGACCAAGGTTGACCACAGATGGTGGAAACTGTGGAAAGTGAAACTGCGCATAAGGGAGGATGACACAGACTGTGTGTTTTGGGAAAGCATCTTTCTGCCCCTTCCATCCACCCTCCCTGAGAGCCGTGGGGACTCTCTCTTCAAATGGCACTTCTTGAGCCGGTGTGTAGCCCTTCCCTGAGCAGGTGGCTTAGTGTTACAGACTTCAAATCTCTTTGGAGCTCATACTGTGTCGAGTCTAAACCGTGATAGATCAATACCAAAAATACTTATTCTTCATGGGCAGGGCAGGTGGTATTCAAATGAAGTTCCAGTTCCTATCTTTTTTGAAATGTAATAAGACAAAATATACCAAGAGCCTTAAAAATGCTCATATCCCTCGGCCCAGGATCTGCTTCTAGGAATCTGTCCTAAAGAATTAATTAGAGATGTTAACATGCATGCATGAACAAAGATGTTCTCTGCAGCATTATTAATGTAATAGTTTGAAGCAGCCAAAAATTAGGAAAACTGTGAAGGATGACATGATTACATATGGCACACCCATTGGAGGGTATATTATTCAGCCATCTTGGAAGTTAAAAATTTTTTTTTTTTTACTGTACTGGGTGTTGAAGTCAGGGCCTTCACTCTGAGCCTAAGACCCCAGCCCTTGTTTTATTTTACTAAGACAGGATCTCACTAAGTTGTTAAGTTTTACTAATACAAGAAGACACTCAAGATATACTGTCATACTGAAGAAAAAAATGAATCCAGATATCAAAATATGGTACATGGATTGAACTAGCAAGAAATTTACCAAAATGTTAATAGTTGAATTTCTAGACATGGAATAACCTCAATCTATTTTTTTCTTATGCTTTGGTATTTTCCAAATTTCTATGGTAGAAATTTATAATTAATCAACTTTCTAATTCAGGGGGGAAACAACTTTTTTATCTTGTTTTTTTGGGGGTGCTGGGGATGGAACCCAGGGCTTTGTGCATGTTAAGCACATGCTCTGCCACTGAGCCATGCACTCAGCCTTTTGTCTTGCTTTTGAGTGAAAGAGGGAGCTAGGGTTGAACCAGCCTCTCCTGGCCAGTCTTTGGCTGGAACAGAGAGGCGGGGTGGGGGGGACACCTACCACTCCTCGTTCCCAGATGACGCTCATGCGGTCCTGCACGCCACTCACACCATGCGGGATTTTGGTAAAGTCCTCCTTCCCCATAGCTTTCTGCTTTGTGGTGAATGGCCGATGATCTGACGCCACGATGTTCAGAGTGTCACTGGGGAGAGAGGAGGAAGCGATCGGTGAGGAGCCCCAGAGGGTAGGGACAGACACAAGAAAAGCCTGGGTTTGGGAGCCAGGCAAGGTTGATTCCAATTTTGCTTCTGCTACTTAGGAGCTGGGTGATTTCTGTCAAGTTACTGCATCTAAGCGAACCTCAGTTTACTCACCTACAGAATGGGAATATGGGCAGAGTGTGCCATGGGAGATTTTGGGCCCTTGGGATGGTGATTTTTAAGATACTGGGCAGAGATCAATTGAATCTCGGGTTTAGCTAAAGTGAGATGGTGGAGGTGGTTTTACTGTCATGGAATCACATGCTAACTCCGTCTCTGACCACTACCAACCCCTGCTGGCAACAAGCAGGTGCTTGGTAAGCATCCCTAAGTTCAGTGTTAAGCTTGGCTAAGTAACTTGGAGCTGTAGTCTTTTCGAATGCAGGGGATCTAGTGGCCTAGGAAGCATGAGACAGAGAGCAGTCTGACTGAATGAACTAATGTTGTCTGTAGGGGGATCTGCTCATCACCAGAGCCATCCGTGACCACAGTCCTCACATGGTTAGCAGGTGGCTAGGCACAGCCCTCAAGGGCTCCCGGGCTGGCTAAGACTCAGCAGGACAGCAGTGGAGGGCACAGGGCACATGGAAGCAGACCTTTGCCAACAGAGGGATCAACATTCTGGGATCTCTGTTGGCCCAGCCTCAGAGAAAGGGAGCGGCAGAGGAGAGGGAATGCCATGCCCCCCAGACCAGGGCAACCTGAACAGGAAATGCTGTGGGAGTGTAGGGTATATGGTACATCCATTGAACTAGAAAGATCCAAAATGTTAACAGTTTAATTTCTAGGCATGGAATTACCTCAGCCTATTTCTTTCTGTTTTGGTATTTTCCAAATTTCTATGGTAGAAATTTATAATTAATCACCTTTCAAATCCAGGGGCAAAACAACTTTTTCAGGGGGTGCTGGGGATTGAACCCAACTTCGGCTGGATCAGAGAAAGCCAGTGACAACTGGGACCACACAGTAGGGACTCCAAGAGTCGACTACAGGAGTCCTATTGCTCTCCGACAGTTCCCAGTCAGGGCTGCTTCCTCTGGGGCCCGCAGGGCTCCTCAGTCATAGCTAATGTCCTCAGCCAAATCCACAGTGTGATGACAGCTCTTCCTGTGGCATTGGTGGACACCCCCTGGGCTGGAAAGACAGTGGAAGGCCTCTCCTCCAGAGCAGAAGGTGTTCTAGAGCCCTTGTGGCTCCAGTGTCCCCTGCACTGGCAGCCCGCCCCTCCCCTGCCCTGTCAATGGAGTCTCCACGCTGTGTCTCTTCAGGGGCCTTGGGACACCTAGAAGGGCCAGGATCAGGAGGTGTTCATCACAGGGTCAGGGGACACAGGTCAGGGACCCTGAAGCACAGCCTCAGCTCCCGTTCTTTAACTACCAAGTCCTACTGAGCACCCAACTCTCTCCCGAGGCTCCCACAGCAGGTGGCACCAAGCAGATGTGAATGAGCGCGATCACTCTCCAGAAGGGCTTTTGAGGTCTCCCAGTGTGGCTCTAGGTCTGGGAGACAGAGAACACCCATCCAAACCCTTTAAAGTTAAAATGTGACTTGGGCTGGGGATTTAGCTCAGTGGTTCTGGCGCCTGCCTCACAAGCGCAAGGTCCCGAGTTCAATCCCTGGCACAAAAAACAAAACAAAACAAAAAAACATGACTGTCTTTGTCAAGTACATACTTTACAAGCTTACATGTTCAAATGAAAAAACTTTCTGGTCCTTTTAAGAAGTCAGATGTGTGGGGGCCAGCGATGTAGCTCAGTGGCACCACACCTGCCTCGCAAGCGCTAGATCCTGAGTTCGATCCCCAGTACCAACAACAACAACAAAAGAACTCAGATGTTTAAATAAAGGGAAAATCTTTATTTGTATAGGTTGTGTTTTTAAAAATTCCTATTTAGAAAAAAAGTCCTATTTAGCCTAAGAAATCACACCCTAAAGTAGATAATGATGGAGCAGATCACATTTTCTTATAGGAATAACTAGTGTTGGAGTTTTCTATCAAGTATTTTGCACCATATAAATTATACCAGTAACATATTGTAAAAACAAAATTATAGCAATCATAAATTCTATAAATAAGCAAAATGTTAAAATTATACTCTAAATCATAAAACAGTACACATTTACAATATGTACTAATTAAAAAAGAGGATTCATCCTATTTTTCTAACATATGAACTCACAATTCTCCTTAAATGAGCAGAATTTATTCAACTCATTAAAATAAGTGGGACAAAATAAGCTAGATATAAAAACTTTTAAGTATTCAATTAATAATACTTTTTTCCATATTTCAATTTGTATGAGTTAGGGCCCTAGAATTTAGGTGGGTTGGGACATTTATTATCTTTTTGTTCTTTCAGTAAATTTGCTTGTAGAAAAAAGATGCACTTAGGGCTGGGGATTTAGCTCAGTGGTTCTGGCGCCTGCCTCACAAGTGTAAGGTCCCGAGTTCGATCCCCAGTACAAAAAAAACACCAAAAACAAAGAAAAAAGATACATTTCAAAAGATTCTCTGACCTTGGAACTAAGCCCAAACTGTCACAGCAGATTCTTGATAACTGTTTGCTTTTTTTGCATTGCTAATGATGAAAAGGAGGTTGTGTCTTCCCAAGGAAAAGCGGTTTGACAAGGAAGAGGAGCTCTATCATTTTCTTGGCTTTTTACCTTCTGAGTTTATCTCAATCCAGAAGAGTTGCTTAGTATCACTCACAGAAGATGGGACAGAATGCAAGAGGTGATTGACAAATGCGATGGATTTAAATATCCCATCATTCTCGCCACTTCCTGAAGCAGTTCTAGAAGTCCTCTCTGTGAATGACTTTAGTTGCCCTTTTGTGGCTGCCTTGATTCCTGAATTGATTCAAAATGTTCACCCTTCATGAAGTCACTCTGACTTCTAGCACCAGAAGTTTCACGGTGCCAGATACAGTGAATAAGTTGGATGCGGATACACTGTCATGCTTTTACAAGCTGCCTTTCAATGGATTAGGTACCCGCAAAAGCATTCATTCTTTTTTTTTTTTTGGTTCTGGGGATCGAACTCGGAACCTTGCGCTTCCGCAACAGGCAGCGAAACAACTGAGCTAAATCCCTGGCCCCATTCACTCTATTTTTGATCACAACTCATAAAGACACAAAAGAGGACTTCCAGGACAGTTTCAGAAAATGGCAAGGATGATGGGTAAGTGTTTGAAGTGAGGGGAAGTATGTTGAGGGGACCGATGCCTATGTATCTCTTATTGTATTTTAAATTTTAAAACTTAAGCATCCACTGTGTATTTTAATAACCCTTGTGCCGGGGTGCACACTGAACTCCTACCCATGTGGAGAAGGCCCCTCCCCACACCTCTCTTCAGGGCCTTACCATATGGGATGTTGAGAGGGAATAGTCTGGGGCCAACCAGGATTGAAAACCAAGGTCAGGGATGAGGTAAGTGCCCCATTTTCTAGAGGGGTCGGTCACTTCCCTCACTCACCCATATCACCCCAGAAGAGGTGCTCTACCTGCCACCCCCAGATCTATGAAATCAGAGACAGGTGGGAGCTGTGCATCAGCAGGATGGAGAGGCCTGGATGCCCGTGCCTCCGTGACCTCTGCCCACTCCTCCGCCCTGACGTCACGAGGGCATTTCAGGGGAGCAGAGGTGAGGCCGTGTGCACCTGCTGGGCAGTGCACCGATGGCCCTGCCTCCGAGATGGGGCGGGCGAGCTGGGGGAACGGGGAGGGATGTTAAGGGCGTGTCCCCCTGTCACCGTGCCCCTCAGCCTGAGCAGAGCTGGGGAGTGGCAGGGAGCAGCCTGACTTTTAAACTGCACAGGACTTTAACAGCGAACAGTGAGGAGGGAGCGGTGGCCCCTCCCCAAAACATCACTAGGGATGAGCAAAATGCCTTTCCATGATGGTGTTCCGTGGAATTCAGACTGTTCATCAAGCCATTTTCCTGCTTCAGGTCGGGATCAATGGGGAAAAGCAGTGTCAGTGAGGAGCTGAGAAAAGGGATCTACAGGAAAGGTGTGGGAAAAGAGGGGAAAGGAAAAGGGAAGAAAGAAAGGAGGAGCATAGAGAAGGGAGACATGGAGAGACAGGAGAGGCCATGAGAAGAGGGCGCGGTGAGGAGACAGAAACACAGGCACTGGCAGTGGTCAGGCCACATCCCACACTCCCCGCTGGCTCTGCAGGGACATGGCCCTGTCCCGTGAAATGCTCATTAACCACTGATCGCAGCTTTAGGTTCAGACTTTCCTCTTACACCTCAGAAGCTCTCCCTCCACATGAAGTGGCTGGAGAAGCCCTGTGGGCTGGCCATCATCTAACAGGCTCTGAGAAGGCAGTGCCAGCAAAAGCATCCTCTGGGCACAACAAAACCAAGCTGGCTTTGTTTCCTGGGCTCTAGGACATCTTCTTAAGGACTTTTGATCCCAAGTGCCCTGGGCATGAGTGGCTGCTCTGCCCTGCTGAAGCGCCTTACTTGGCCAGCAGGCTCATGAGGTAGGTGGAGGTGTTGGTGTCCAGTCTCAGGGGAGGCACCGTGACGTAGGCGGCTGCGTGGGACCAGTCCTGGTGGTAGTAGTGTAAGCCTGTCAGCGTGGCATGTGCAGTGGTGGTCTCAGCCAGTACCACCTTCCCTGGAGGAAGAAGAGTCAAAACTATATTGAGGAAGCCTCTGGACCCAAGAGATCAGGGGTCTGAACCTCTCATCTTACAGGCTAAGGGGCAAAGGGGCAAAGGCAGAGAGAAGGGGACCTCCCAATTTGCTCGGAAGCTGGCTCAGGCATTTAGAGCAGGGCTGGGTTCAAACCCAGGACTTTCCTACTCTCCTGCTCACTCTGGCCAAGGGGTGGCGCTTGGGAGTCTGGTTTGGCATGGGTGTGGGGAGTGTGCTAGGTGCTGTGGAGCGGTTGTGAATGTCGGGGAGAGGGGCAGTGGGGAGCAGACAGGCGCTGTGAACAGCTCCAAGAGAGCTGCTGGTGGGACCTGGAACAGACCCAGAGGGCAGGGAGCCATCCAGCAGGCTGGGGACAGTCCAGGTGAGACCCCAAGGGAGGCTTCAGTTAGGGGAGAAGCAGAGGTGGCGTCTAGAGGGCAAAATGGCATGAAGGCTGGGGTGCCCTTGCCTCGGACTTACATCCCCACGGTAGTGATGATGACTCAGTTTCTCCTGTTACAGGCCCTCACCAGCACCTTGTGCTGGGCTGGATGACATACATCTACAAAGCCTTCAGGCACTGGCAGGTCATCAGCACTGAGTCACGCCAGTGCCCCTCAGGGCTGGGGCACAGGGTTCCAAGTGGCTAGAGAGGGCAGTCAGCCACACACCGTGATTTCTCCAGGGACTTCCACACTGCGCGCCCCAAAATGCCCACAGGAGCTGCCTAGGGTTTTATGTTGGTTGTCAAGGCAACTGTTAGTAAAACCCGAGACCAAAAAGACTAATCAATGAACCAATTTAAAACTTAGGTAATTCTACTAGACCCGGGCAAGGTGACACATTTCTGTGAGGTGGTCATCCATGCTAATGTGTGCAGGGAAAGACTTGGCTGTCGTGGATGGAACCCAGGCTCTCCGAGGCAGAGGGGAGGGCAGGCTGGGCTGGGGTCCTGGCCGAAGGAGCCAGACCCGGGCAGTGCGCTGTGATGGCGGACTTTATTGTTCTCTAGTCTCACACATGGCAAACACCACGGAAGGACTCACCTTGCATCTTAGCAGCTGCGATAACATCACCAGCGGAGATGCTGGACACATTGACCAGGTAAATGGGACAGTGAGTCTGAACACAGGAAGCAGCAGGAATAGGAGCGTCAAGCCATAAACTTAACACACACAAAAACAACCCCTGTACAATCAGCCCTGCATCACCCCCACCCTCCAGGGGAAGAGACAGAATCATCCTGGGAAGGCCAGGCTGGCATCCAGAGCACAGGCTGCAGGCTGAGGGCCGTGAGAACCAGGGAGGCGGCAGGCAGCAGCCAGCATCAGGGCCCACCAGGGAGGTCACCCCGGGAGGTGATTTAGACTGTTGAGCCTGAAGCTCACTTTCTCTCCCATTTGACAACGGTGACTATAATTCAAAGGAAGGGATTACTTTTTGTACTTTAATTTCCTGTTCATAAATGTGATGACCTAGAGACAGGCGTGTATTCTACCCTATCTGAAGTCACTGCATCTGAGGTCTAAAGGCTGCCTTATCAGTAGATGGAGAACAAAACACAGGGGCCCGGGGCTCAGTGTCTGGATTGGACAAGACAGGTCTGTGATCAGACACCTGGATTGTCAGAGGGATTAGCTTCTCTTCTGCTATACTGTGTGACCATGGTCCCGGGCTGAATGTGCCTGGCCACATGTTTGAGCTAAAAAACAAAAAGCCACCGTTTGGTCATTCAGATCTGTCCTTATTCTGGAGTAAGTTTCCACCAGGAAGTTAATTGGTAGATAACTGTTGCCATGGAAATGGGACAAAATCCTTGTCCAGCTGTCAGACCTGGAAAGAGCTAATGGGAAAATGTTTCCCCAGATGTTATTCTGATGCCTTCTGCACTCATCAAATTAGGAGGACATGTGAGTGTGGGAACTGGCTTGAGGCTTGCTGTCCTGAGCACAAGTTGACTGAGTGATTCGCCCTGTTTCTGATTCAGCAGCTCTGCCTGGGGCTCAAGAGTTTGCATTTCTAGGCCCCAGTTCTGACAAGCAGTGCTGATACTGCCAGTCCAGGGATCCCACTTTGAAAACCACTACTCTAGAGATGCTAGTTCAGATTATCTGAGCAAGCTGAACCTTTCTGTGATGGTTTGGGAGAAAGGACCTGCACGGGTTCTATTGTTTATAAAGTGCTTCTCCTTCTTGGCTCCTGTGATCCTCACCAGCCTCCTGTGAGAAAGGATACTATCATCCCACCTTTACGTAATGATGCAGTGGATCAGAGTGGTTGAAAGCCTGTGGTAGGTAAAGGTCAAAGCTAAGATATCTGGCACCAACCATCTCTCGGTATCAGTGTCTTGTTAACCCCGAAGGGACTACCCTGAACCACACCAAGAAACTGGAAACAATGGCCCAGTACCATCAGTTCAAATCATGATCCTCTAAGCCACAAGTTTACCTATTCCTCCAAAAGAAACAGACTGGAGTTGTGGTGAGAGGCCTGGAGTCCAACCCCGCTTCACCTGCCTCCCTCGGGAGCCATTTACACTTGAGCAATGAACGTCAGCTTTCGCAGCTTCTGCTCACTGGAAGGGCCGGGACAGAGAGCTGGGGGCAAGCAGGATGCGCTCCAGGACTCTGGGAGTAGCACCCATTTAGCAAAGAGGCCTGGGGTCCTGGGAACCATGCAGTGCTGGGCCCCAGAGCAGAACGACACCAAACATGATCCCAGCATGGGGACTGGCCGACTTACCCTATTTGCAATGGTGATGACACGGTGAGTGGCTTCCACTTCCAGCTGTTAGAAACAAATGACAGGAAGGAACCAGGCTTCATTGTCTCCTTCAAGCCGGCCTGCCGCACCTGCCTGAGAGCCCTCCACACGCAAAGTGCCAGAGCATTTGACATGGAGCAGGAGGGGCCCTCTGTACCCACAGGGGCTGGCAGCGGCGAGATTTGGGCAGGAGTGTCAAGCTCCAACCACCTGGGCTGCCCAAGGGAAAGTCCTAGGACTTAAGACACCAGCCTTGTCCTTGCTGGATGCTACTAAGGCTTGGAAGGCAAATGAAGGAAAACCTGCATGTCACCTCTCCCTGTCCTCTGGTCCATTCTCTCCACAGCCACCTCAGAAATTCAGTGTAGAAGCACAGGGACCGGCACTAAGCTGGAAGCTGGCCTAACTCAGGGTTTCTGTGCCTCAGCACTACTGACCACTTGTGGTGCAGCTGTCTGAGCATTGCAGGATGCTGGCAGCAGCCCTTGCTCCTACCTACTAGCTGCCAGTAGCAACCTGTTCCCTCCCAGTGGGGACAGGTAAAAGCATTTGTAGACATGGACATTGTCCTCTGGGGAGCAAAATCTGCCCTGGTGCACTCAGCCCCACCCTTTAACTAGCAGGTGCTGATGGTGACTGTTCCTACTGTCACCAGTTAAAGCCTTGCTCCCTTGTGCTCCCTAACAAAGCAAGCCTAGGTCTGGGTCCACACGGGCACCCACTGTGGGTTTACTAGGTTGAATCTGGTGCCTCTTTCTCTACCAATTCTGAGTTGCCCCCACAGGAACTGTATTCAAGGCAGTGGAGGGCAGGGACAAATGCAGGGAAGGAGGAAGGTAGCTTGATTTGGCTCATGGGTGACAGTGGGACCATGAATTGTGTCTCCTGAACATCCAACACCAACCCCTCATGAACGGGATAGAATACCTGAATAGGGTCACAGGGCAAGAAGGCATGTTTATCTAATGTTTCTCCTGGGAGCATGAGGGATTTGTGTCAAGACCCTGAAAAACTGTATGCAAGGATAAAAGCAGAGTGCAGAAGAGAACAGAGCTTTTAGTTTCCAGTTCAGTGAGTGATCAAGGGAGAGAATACACACAGGTATGTGGTCCTTCTTTCTGGTAGGAAGGGTTCAAAATATCCCTCAGATGGGGCTCTCATCCCAAAAATGTTGAGTCCCTAGGACCCTTTTTGTCTCTTTTGTCCTCTGATTCAGTTTTGGGGAAAGCAACCCTGGAGTGCTGAGATTGTCTCCCTCAGAGCCTTGACATCAGAATTGATGGTGTGGGGGAGACATTGTTCCCCATACTGTCTCTTCCAAGGAAGTTCAAGGTCAACTTGGCCTTAGCCTGGAGGGAGCTATTGGCCTTAGCCTTGGGAAACTTCCATAGGGGAGGGAATTCTACCCATGGAGAAAGTGATACAGCTTATATTTTGGATGCCTCTTCTACCCTAAGATTCTGTGAGTCTACATGAAAGAAGCTGAGAAAGGACACGGGAAGACTTCTCACCTCCTCTGGACGGCTGATCTCGATTCCTTCTGGGCCGGTGATACCCAAATCTAGTGCCTCCTTAGCACCCTGAATAAGAGCAAAAGAAAGAAAAACCGAGTCAAACAATAAAAGAAAATACTGAGCTGGTCGTGGTGGTGCATACTTATACTTCTAGCACTTTGGGAGGCTGAAGCAGGTGGATCTCAAGTTCAAGCCCAGCCAGGGGAACTGTAGTGATTTAGTGAGACCCTGTCTCAAAATAAAAAGAAAGAAAGAAAGAAACAAAGAAAGAAAGAAAGAAAGAAAAGGACTGGGGATGTAGCTCAGGGAGAAGGCCTTGAGTCTAATCCTCAGTACTGAAACCATCAAATAAAATAAAAAACAAAAACCATTGAACCCAAGAGACAATAAAATATGCTACACAGCCCATGCCAATAGGCCAGCCATGTCTCACATCTATAAATATTCATCTCTTACAGAATAAACGCTTTGTAAGGCTCTCCTGATTCTTGTTTTAAAATAACCAAATGTATCTTTTTCTCTTAAAAATACAGTTCAGTAATTAGCCACCAAGCCCAGGGCACCAAAGGCAAGTACTGTTTGTTGGTTTCAAGGAGTTTCCTCACTGGATATCTAGAGAAATCTCTAGCTTCAGCAACTCCTAGACTAGCTTTCCCCACGACCTAGAGCCAAGAGGCCTGTCCTTCTTGGTACCAGAGAGTAAACCTCTATGATATCTGAAGAGGGATAGGAAGGTGAAAAGCAGATTCTTGTTTATACTGTATGTCAAGTCTCATTAAAAGTACCCCACACTCTTGCTATGATGAAACTTCGGTATCATGGCATCTGGGAGCATGAGGGTGGGTCACGGGGGATGGACATGATCAAAGCATGTTATATGACTCATGATAATGTCACAATGAAATCCAGTGTTCTGTAAACTCAATATGTACTAATAAAAATACATCACAGCATTAGAAACTCATGCATTGTCACCTAAGACTTAGAAACCTCTCTGGACTAGTAAAAGAGATCTGTTTTTATTCGTTTATTTATATACAGTAGGAAAGTTTAGATCTTCTAAGACTTGGCACCTGAGGTGTTCACACCTTATACTTTGCTTTATAGCTTGTTTTGCTGAACTTTGCAGGATCAGTGACAGCTGGCAGGACCCTCATGTCCAGCTCCTCTACTGGTGCCACCCCATCCCACATCCTCTGCTGCAGACTTACCTCAGCCACGAGCTCCCCATTTTCAGCATGAACGCGAGCGATTGCCCCAATGTCCTTGCAAGCGTAGAACACTTGGTACAGCTCACTGTCTCGAAGCATGTACAAGTCCTTGTAGGTCATAAACATTTGAAACGAGTTGACACCCTTCTCCCTTACCAGTGTCTCCATTTCTGCTTTCACCTGCAGAGCAAAATGCAAAGGCAATGGCCAGTGAGTACTGAGAGCCCAGAGCTGCCCGGCAGGTGCTGGCCCAGCAAGGAGGAGATATGGGGACCATGCCCAGCGCGGTCAGTTGAGTCACCCTGTGGCCACTGGCAATCAGTGTTTCATTCTCCAGAAGTACTCTGAAAATCGCCAGGCATGATGCAATCATGAGATAACGATGGCCTTAGATTATAGGCATGCTTGTCCTGTCGCATAGGCTTGTCCTGTGTTTGTGGCTCCAAACCAGAATTCTTGGTAAATGAAGGAACAACAATTTTTATTCCTCTGCCCCGTGCCCCTCCCTTCATAGCGAAGATGGTATTACAAAGAAGGCATACTTATGCTTACATTGAATTAGGAACAAAGCAAGGCACGAACAAAGCTATGCAAATATGGATGATCATCCTGATGTTGTTATGTTAGGGAAAAAACACTGATGTAACACGAGGAAAGAGCTTGAGGTTCATCTACTTGCCAGAACATCAGTGGCCATGAACCCGCAGGTCAGGTCATGAAGACTGAAGCAAAATAGAAAATACTCACACTCAGGCAGAAAGTTACCATGTAAAAAATATGTACAATCAGACTGGAAAGAAATGAGCTAAAGCAACAACAAGTAGGGTTATGAATTTCTTTTCTTGTCCACTTTAAAAATCTGTAATTAGAAAGCGATATTTGTTATTAAAAGAGACCTATCTGAGAGAATCCTTGGTGAGGGACGCTGACATTCAGCCTGGGCTGCGTGCTTAGCCTGCTACCCAGATGGGCTTCATGCTGCCAGGGCTCCAGGGCTCCAGCGTGCTCCGTCACTGCCGGGCTGGAAATATTGGAAGAGCTGGGGGAGCCCTAACCAAGGCTAAAACTCAAGGGCAGAGGTAGAGGAGGCTCCGGACGGCAGCTAGGAGCTGGGCCTTTTAGAGCAGTGTCCACAACTGGACAACTTCGTAAAACGTCTTAATGCCTTTTTTTTTTTTTTTTTTTTAATATTTCTGGGTTTAATAAACAGTGGATGAATGAATGAATATTCAGGCTGCTTCCCTGGGTAATAAGCAGTAAAACTCCGCAAAGCAATATCTAAAAGCCTGTATAGCTGTTTTCAGGAAGAGCAAGTGCAGGCAGCAGGGGGCTCAGTGGGAGTCAGAGTCGGAGTCAACCTCAGCCTCAGGCCGGGACAGCCTTGGGCTTCTCCCAGAGGGACTGGGGGCCCAGTGAGAAAGAAGCACCCCGAGGGCTGTCCTCATGTCCACAGCAGGACATGCTAAGAGCCTAAGGGTGGAGCACGGAGCCTGAGCCCCCGGGGCCTGACTTCTGGCCTTGCTCTGTGAGACAAGAGCTCCGTCTGCTGAAAAACAGCCTCTTGAAGTCAAGAGGGCAGGCCCACCCCACGCCCTCATGAGTCCTGAGTGGTTTTCTCTCGGCGAGTGGGAGTTAGGCTGGCGGCCGGAGGGGGGCCCTCATATGCAGGACAGCACCAGGCCTCGGCTGGCTGAGCTGCAGCCCCTCTGCTCACAGGACCACTTGTGCCTTCCACTCAGATTCCACAGCACTGTTACCTTGGGCGCCCACCAGGTGATCCCCACATGAAGGGCGTAGTCGCAGCAGACCTTGGGGTCGGCCAGACTCCGGCACTTCTCGTAGGCGTCCACGAGGGAGGTCTCCTTGTCAGGCAGGACATGGCCAATGATCATGGTGGTTCCTCCAACGAGCGCTGCCTGAGGGACAGGGGAGACAGTCTCATCACAGCCCACCCTGTACCTAAGTCCCTAGCCTGGTACGACACAGTCCTCAGTACACTCAGGACAACCACAGAGCCTGCTTTGAAAGAGGCTGTGAGAACCAAATACAGCAAGGTTTGGGGAACGGTAAGGGTTATGTGGAGGCACAGAAGTTGGCAGCAAACCTGCTTCTTCCACATCTGGGGTTTCCACTTGGTAGTTGGAAAAACTACTTAGTGTGTTAGCAAGCCTAAGGCCAATCCCTAGATTCCCAACGAGAAGACCTCCCTTCAAATGATTTTCTTGCTAACTTGAATGTGCAGATGACTAAATGTCCAAGTATAATATAAAGCATAATCAAACATCTATTTAAAATATTTGCTTAGCTACAAACATGTAAGTAAATCATAATATATGAAATATTAATTTGGATATATTATTTCTTTTATTCTTTCACATTTCATGAAGGAATTTTACTCAGACTTTTGGGAGTATACCTTAGTGGTGGAGCACTTGCCTACCATGTGTGAAGTCTTGGGTTCAATCCCCAGCATCACAAAAATATAACACGTTTAAATGAAAGCTGAGTGTGGTGGCCCACACTTGTAATCCCAGCTCTCTGGAGGCCAAGGCAGAATCGCCATGAGTTCGATGCCAGCCTGGGCTACACAGTGAGTGCAAGGCCAGTCTGAGCTATACAGTGAGACCCTGTCTCTAAAACAAAAACAAAAACTTTTCACATGTATTTTCAACATCAGTGTCTTTGTCTTTAGTTTTTCTAAGCACATTAGCTTTGTCTAGCTTGTGTGAGATACTACACTTTTTAGATGCATGTCTGACTTATCAGTGAAAAATGACCCTTTTCATAATCTCCACATGATTACTTTAAGCAGAAATCTTTAAAAGCTCTCATTCACAATCACAAAGTATCCCCCTCCCCACGCAGAAAAATGACTAAATCTATGACTCCCCCGCCAATTATTTTCTTGTGGTACTGGGATCAATCCGAGGAATGCTTTACTACTGTGATACACCCCCAGCTCTTTTTATTTTGTATTTTGAGACAGAGCTAAATTGCACAGGCTGGCCTTGAATTTTTGATCCTCCTGCCTCAGCTTTCCTAGTAGATTATAGGTTTGCACCACCACATCTGGCTCTCTACAACTTTTTAAAAACGAATTTGGGGGCCAGGGATTTAGCTCAGTGGTTCCAGTGCCTGCCTCGCAAGTGCAAGGACCCGAGTTTGATCCCCAGTACCAAAAAAAAAAAAAAAAAATAATTTGGCCTGGTGATGTCTATAAACTTCCATACTGCCCAAAGGCTGTTTTAGGTGACTGGGTTGTTCCCAGATAAAGCTTTGTTATCAAAATTAAAATAACCGAGAGAGGGTCCCATAATATGACAGACCCCTCCCCAACAGCGTGGGAAAACCTGTTGTCCTATCTGAGTCATGCTGATCTGGAGTCAGAGTGCCAGACTTGAGTTCCTGCTCTGCTTTCCCCCAGCTGGAAAACTGCAGCCAATTGGGTAACTTCTCTGAAATGCAGGTTCCTTACCTTTACCTGGGATACCTTCCTGGCTGGACAGTTGTAAAGATGAAGTAAAACACCATTTATGGAATGGATTTGGTAAAGCCTTGTCCAGATGTATGGGTTTGATTATTCAGAACCTAGGTGCTTATGCCTGCTTTCTGTAGCCGTGAAATTGCCTTCAGGATTTCATGATCCTCTATTCAGTTAAATCCTTGATTCCTATTCCGAAATACAGTATTGCTGGAGTCGAAAGCACTGAAAAAACTAGTTCAGTGGTCAAACAATTACTAAATGAAGAAGCCTGCCACCTGGTTTTCCACGCTGATGGCAGCAGGGAGCTGTAGAGTGATGATGTTGCCCCATGCTGTCCTGGAGCCTCAGGGGTCTGAGTTCTTGCACAGCTTAAAACAATCGACAGGGTGCAGCAGCTCCGCGCCACACGTGGGAAGGGGGACGTGGTGGGAGGGAGAAGGGGGAGTGTAGGGCAGATTGCAGCTTACTAAGCTGGCTTCTATTTCTGCTTCTGCTGGATCCTGCCAGACTGATTCATCCTCAGAGCAGGTGGTTGTACTCTATTTTGTCCCACGATGCCTTTCTTGTGTTTACACGTGCACATGGGGGTGTCTGCTGCATGGAGGTTTTACACACTAAATTGTTTTCTTTTTTTTGAGGTACTAGATTGCTTTGCTGTGGACTCCCTTCAGTACATCTGTAGCTCTGGGCAGAGAAAGGGGAGCCTGCAATGGCACAGTGATAAAAGAGCCCAGACTGTGAGAGGAGAGGAGGTTCACGTGCCGACCCTCTTAACGATGGAGCTAATAAAACATTCCACAGAACACATTCTATCTCGCTACTCCAGTATGTTCTTATAATGACCAAGAGGGCCAGGCATGGATTTAGAATTTTGGGAGTCCTTGAAATTCTGAGCTCTGCTGCAGGGAAAGCTGCCTCAGGCTCCGTGCCTCCCCCGTCCACACCTTCACTCTGGCCTCATCCCTCTGCCCCCTGCAAAATGCTGCCCCGGAGCCTAGTGTGCACACACTCGGGTCCGGCCCTCACCGGTCAGACCCAGGCTTGTGTAGTGCTGGAAGGGCTCGGGGCCCTTGTCAGAGAAGTCCAGGGACCCAGAGTGGTCTGGGAGTGGGCTAGGGGACACTGGGCAGATACAGCCCCTGCACGGGTGTCAGAGGACCCACGCTGCAGCCTCTACAGGTGGGCGCCCAGGGCAGGGGTTCTTGCCTGGGTCCAAGGACAGGAACTGAAAAGGGTTCTGGAAGGGGTCTTGACTTCTGCACTTTCTGGCTATAACCCAGGAGCAACTCTCGGGGGGACAGAGAGGGCCAAGGGCAATGGATGAGAGCATCTGGAAAAGGCACACAGCTGCCTGAATAATTTATTATTCCAGCGGTTACCCGAGGCCTCAAGGAAGAACCTAGCCAGAAACTGCATGTGTGAGCATGCAGCTCCTTCGGGCAAGACACACGGAGCTGGCTTTGGGGAGGTGCAGCTCCGATCCCCAGGATGAAGGACCTTTTCAGGGTCAACTTGGAGCGGCCTGGGCAGATCCCTGTGGAGCACAGCCCAGTCCTGTCCCGAGGCTTTTGAATCACAAGTTTATGAATCAGAAGTTCATGAATGTGCGATCGATCACATGGCTGTTGAGGGTTCGAGGTGAGCGAGAGGAGAGCGGTAATGGAAGTCAGCGAGATGATGCTCAGGGAGCCGAGTCAGGACACAGGCAAGGGCGGCGCTACCGCGAGAGACCGGGGCGGGCGGAGTCAGGATGTGGATGCAAGAGGCTTGGAACTGATTAAACACACACAGCCTCACAAGAGGAACCAGAGTGTACCAAACACGGACAACGCTGTTCTGGGTTTTTTTGGTTTTTTTTTTTGGTACCGGGGATCGAACTCCGGACCTTGCACTTGTGAGGCAGGCGGCAGAACCACTGAGCTAAGTCCCTGGACCTTGGACAACGCTGTTTTGGAGTGATGAGATTCTGAGCAATTTATTTTTCATTCTCTGACATTTATTCACTTACTTAAAAGTAATTAATTACTTTAAAAATACATACTAAAAGCAATATGTTACTTTTATAATATGTATTATACAAATTAAGAAGACAAAGCTATTTCAAATTTAGCCATGCTTATGTGTTTAAAATGCTTTGTACCACCTACCTTGCAAGCACAAGGACCCGAGTTCGATCCCCGGTACCAAAAAAAAAAAAAAAATCTTTCCGGTGCCTGCCGTGCAAGCGCAAGGTCCCAAGTTCAATCCCCGGTACCAAAAAAAAAAAATGCTTTGCAGTTATGAAATATTTCAGATAGAATAAAAGTACTACAAAATACCAGAAAATAGAATAATAAAAATAATAGAAAATCAAATAATACAACACATACTTCATGGACCCTCTACTCAAATTTAACAGATGTTAACATTTTTGTCATATTTATATCAGATACTTTAAACATTTTCATTTTAAAATTGTGTGTGTGTGTGTGTGTGTGTGTGTGTGTGTGTTGGGAGACTGAACCCAGGGCTTTGTGCATGCTAAGCACATGCTCTACCACTGGCCCACGCCCTCTGCCTTTTTATTATTTTATTTTGAGATAAGGTCTTGTGAAGTTGTCTGGGCTGCCCCGAACTCCTGATTCTTCTGCCTCAGCCTACCAAGTGGGTGGGATTACAGGTGTGCACTACCACACCCAGCTCACCTCTATCTTTTTTGAGGTTGATATAAACGCCTCCCACCCATATTTTTTATGTTTCTACTATTTGTTTTGTGAATTAAAAAAAAATTTAACCAAGAGAGTATGTAAAGGTGCATATCTCCAATGATGAATGTCATTATATTGTACAGCTAAAATGTACCAATAAAAGGATATACAGAAAAAAAAAATTTAGCCAGGCACAGTGGTGCATGCTTGTAATCCCAGCACTCTGGGAGGCTGAGGCAGGGTTACAAGTTTGAGCCCAGACTTTGCAATTTAGCAAGACTCTGTCTTAAAATTTTTAAAAAAATCAGAAGAAAGGGTTGGTGATGTAGCTAGTGTGAAGGCCCTGAGTTCAATCCTCTAATGCTGCAATAAATGAATGAATAAATAATAACACAAATGGTATCAAATTGTCCATGTCCTTTTTGTCCAACTTGTTTTGGTTTTGTTTTCACAGATGCTTTCTCTCTCATTGGCTGCCTGAACATCTGTGCATGTGTGAGCAGAACCGACACTCAGGGGCTGCACTGCCAGGAAGTACAGGGGCAGCACTGGGGGTCCCCCAGCGATCCCAGGCCTCTCCATGAAGGGCTGACCTCACTAGGGCCTCCTTGGACCTGGTGGCTCACTGACACTGCCCATTTATCAAGCCAAGTCCTTCTTTTCTAATACAAGCTCCTGTCTAGCTGAGCCTTTCCCTACTGTGTATGTGGCCTTATTTTTATCCTGATACAGGACTTTACCTCTC